CAGGAACAAACTTTATTGTAAATTTTCGACACTGGCACACCAGGTCGTCTTCAAACAAGTCCCTCGCGTCCGATGATGACCTAGTGTGCCAGTGTCGAAAATTTACAATAAAGTTTGTTCCTGTTTCCCAAAGAATCTCTTCTACCAAACTTCCGCCCGTATGCGTTCAGTAAGCTTATGTCAGGCAATCTCTGATGATGCCTTCGGATAGAGGTCAAGTGAAAAGTCCAGTGATCACATCGCTTTCTTATGCACCGCTTTCTGATACACGCTAATCAATTCTCTCTGTCGTATTATTAGAGCCGCCTGTACGGATGCTCTTTTGTCAACACCTGGCCGTCTGAATGGATCCCAGGTTGGAGTGTGAAGGCAATACGTAGCGTAATAAACCCTCACTTCCAGAAGCACCTATCGCAGTTCTCAGCGACATTTGGTTTACGTTGCAAATTATCTGAAGTGATTACGTTTTTATGTGGATTGCATGTACATACATTATTGTGTAGGCCACCAGTAAGGTAATCAATGGTAGCGTCACCCTCAAGGAACCTTTTGAAGGACTATGCTCATTCCTCCAAATCCTGGCATAACTTTGAGAAACACATTTATTTTAAGAAATGTCAAACAAACCTTCTAAAATGTTGTTAGTTTACGCCCACCAGCTGCACACCACCGGCTGAAACTGGATATCATACACACTTGCTTTCCCCTAGTTCAACCGACCTCTCTATCATCAGGGATGTGGCTACACACATGTATTGGTGCTCGTCTGGGTCCAACTATTAATGCTTCATCAATAGAAGCGAATATGCGAGTTCCGGGAGGCAGGTCAGAAGAAGAAAATACGAGCACTGGAACAAGGATTTTATTCACTTGACGTTTTCGATTTTGTCGAGAATCCTTAATCATAGGTAATGGTAGGACATGCGTAGATAGGGGTGAAGCGTGTACAGATTGGGCGCTATTTGTCATTCGTACACACGTGCTTGGCCACTAATAACTATAAATACCGTGCAATCTGGGCACGCTTCACCCCTATCTGCGCATGTCCTCCCAGTACCTATGATTAAGGATTCTCGACAGAATCTGAACCGTCAGCTAAAGAAAATCCTTGTTTCAGTGATCGTATTTTCTTCTTTTTAATGCTTCAAAGACAGGAGAGACGTGTGGGCTTGAGAGCAAAAAGGATTTCTTTCTGTACATGAGCATACACACAGAACCATTCGAAATGTTGCAAAAGCGGGGCTGTCTGAAGTCGTAGGGCTGCGCAGGTTGAAGGCCTCTACTGTCTTGTCGACTGCTCAGTCGGACAGCTAAGGGCAAGTGGCACAAGTGGAATTGGACTAGAGCTACAATTAGCGAATCACGATCCATAAGCGGGGTTGCCTATTTTGCCCTCATACTCCGGTCGGGAAAGCCGAGTCTCTAGAGCCAAGTTCCAATAGGCAAATTGTCGGCATCCACTTCCTGTATGGTAGAACGAATCCGGGCGAGTATGTTGGAGAACCTGTCCGCGCCCATGTAGTCGATTTCTCCCCTCTCCCATGCGTACATTTTCCAATCAGGTGGTGGTGGTCGTGGTCGATGTCTTTCGCAGAGATGTCCAGTCTCCACGTGACTCTACGAGTAGATGGGACACAAAGGCTTTTAGAATTTATGAATGTCGGCAATAAGGTACTCCCTCCTATTTGGCAGGAGGAAAAGTAACTTTGTCTGTACGAAATTCTCCGTAAACTGTAAAGCTTGAGGGGGAACTGAAAATCTTTTTTCTTATTAATAATAACCGAAAAATCATCTATTTTTCCCGTTGAAACCTGCAGGAACGTAAAGACTGGCAACTTGGCAGACTTATATAAAAACGACTAATAAGCAACTTTAAACAAGACCTTATATTATATAGATGCGGAAAATCTGATCTAACCAAAAGAAGTTTCCACTTTGAACAGCTGAATGACTGTAGGTATGCTTATTGGACCAGATCATTGGCATTGCGACAAAACAAATAGAAAATATTCAAAAAATACATTAACGCTCTTGTGCCTCCGATACTTATCTCAAATTCATCAGATAACACAAATTTACTACCTAAATACTGTAAGTAAAAAAATCTGCTCCTTACAAAATATGCTTCCTTTAGCTTCCTGGATTTAGCTCAATCACCTTTTTCTAAATCATATCGCTTGTTTGAATCTTATTGACTACAAATAACCCAGAAGTCGATAATTCCGCATATTAACTATAAGTTCGTTACCTCAAGCTCTGATTCTTTATAGATAAATGTATACTTACCATCTGCGGAATACTGCGACTGGACTTCATCCCTTGTTGTTTGGTACTAACCCATGACGCTTCTGGTTTTGCGTGCGTACCGAAATCCGGACCTTCCATACAGTCGGTTTTAGGCAATGCTTTCTTTGCTAGACCGGATTTTTTAATGGTTGCTGTGGGTGACGGCGTATTCCCGTCCAGTTGTGGAAAACTGAATGTTAGTGGAGATACCTGTTGTCTGGGCTCCTCATTTATCTTGCTTTTCTCGGGGATGTTGGTTGTCGCTGTAACATCGAGTTTTGGGAGATCGGCTGCACGTCTGCTCTTGTCTTTAGTAGATGCAAGCGTCGTGTCTCTTTTTGGCGAAGGTACCTTTGGTGGTTTACTTTTTGGCATAGGAGCGAAAGGTTTTCCGGTAAATGGATCTACTGACCTCTTTGCAACTGATTTTTCCTCTTCGGCTACCTTTTTAGTAGCGGTAGCTGTTACGGAACCGCGATCGGACAAACCTTTTCCTTTTACCGAAGGCAACGTTTTGGAAAGAGGCATCAGGGCCTCCCTCAAGAGTCCCTCCTCCGTTGCTTTTACAGCGGCATCAGTTGTATCCAAGGTTGTACCCGTCTTTAGAAGTGAACTATCTTTTTCATGGGCTGCCACGCCTGTCTTCTTAACGTCTGGAAGAGTTTTCAGAGGTAGCGACCTAGCTTTTGCCCTCCCTGCCGTACAGGGATCTTCCAGCATGAAACGCTTTAACGGCGTCTCCTTCACAGGCCCGTCACCCGACAGCTTCGCCTTAGCTGTCCTTGAAGATCGCTTTTTGCCTACGGTCTCCTGTGGTCTCGGTTTTTGCACTTGGTGCAATTTGCTCTGGGTCACTTTCTGACGGGCGACACCACGCATAGCATGTTCCGGTTTTTTCACTTTCTCCGGTTCCGCCTTCTTCTGTGGCTGCTGCTGCTGTTGCTGCTGACGCCGCTCTTTGCCGTTCGCACCGAGAGAGGTTGGCTTGTAATACTGTAAATTGGCCAGTCCCATGGGAATGGAGCGTGGACGG